TTGGCAATTGGAGGGGCTGGGAACCACAGTGGCTGGAACCAGATGAGGTGGAGGAAGCGGAGCCAGGTGGTGAGGGGCTTTGTAGGCCAGGATGAAGGGCACAGGGGTGATTCTAAATGCAACGGGAAGCCACTGGACTGTTCAAGAGAGAAATGGGCATGCCCCGATTTCTATATTTGTAAAAAATAAAAAATAAAAACTTCACTTAGGCAGCTATGTGGAAGGTGGATTAAAGGACGAGTGGAAAGAGCTCAGCAAGGAAGCTGATGCACAGCCCAGGTAGGAGATAACAGCATGGAGAGAGGTGGCAGCTGGTATGAAAACACGCACAGCACTGGGATTTATTTTGGAAGTAGATGACAGGATTGGAGGTGGGTTAACCTCATACATCCTTTAGCCCAGTTCCCTCACTTCCCAAGATGACCAAGCCTAGTGACTTGCTTGTCACAGGTCAGAGAACTCCTTACTGATACATCCAGGCCTAGAAGCCAAGGTTTCTAACTCCTGGGTCAGTGTTCGATCACTCTAGGAAAGCAGGAGCTGGAATTTGAGAATAGAAACTGTATTTTTTTAATCCTGTTAACTAGTAATTACCAATACATTCCATTTTTAAAATTGTTTGACAGCCTTTATTAGCTTTTTTGACTCGCCTCTCTCCCAGAGTAGAAAGAGACAGATCTGGGGTGAGTGGAATCTCAGGTCCACCGCTGCCTACTGTAAGCCTGGAGTAAGGGAGACAGGCAGTGTAGGAGACAGGGATAGCAAATGTAAATAGGACAGTCAGGGGAGATCTCACTGGTAAGGTAACCCTGGCTGAAAACCTGAAGGAGGTGAAGGTTTGAGTGGGCCTTACAAGGGTAACCCAGGTGGAAGACACAGCTGAGGTGAAGGTCCTCGGACAGGAACCTGGCATATTTGAAGGGATGCTTGGAGGCCAAGGTGAGTGGAGTTAAGATATGTAAGAGAGAACAGTAAGATGGAAGTGGGAATGGAGAGCCAGATGGCATAAGTCTTTGTGAGCCGTCAAAGGCTTGACATGGGAGCCATGAGAGGTTGTGAGCTAAAAAGTGACATGACCTGTACATTTTCACAGGATCACTTTGCTGCTGTGTGGAGGACAGACTGTAGGAAGCAAAAGTGGAAGTAGAGCCCAGCTAAGAGATTGCTGCAGTCATCTAGGTGAGAGAGGATGATGAACTGGCCTATAGACACAGCCATAGAGAAGTGGTCAACCTATTAAGACTTTGACAAATACATGAGAAAAGGAGTCAAGCATTACTCCCAGGACCTGGCCTGAGAAACAAGAAAGACAAACGTGTTATTAAATGAGATGGGGCAGATGAGGAAGGGGTTTGGATTTGTAAGTGTTGGGTTCAAGACGCTAGGGAGACATCCAGCGAAGAGGCTGAGCCCGCTGCTGAGTATACCAGAGTTCAGGAGACAGACCTGGTCTGGATCCATTGGCAGATGGATGGTGTTTAAGGCCACAGGACTGGATGAAATCTAGCAAGTGTAGAGTCAACAACTGTGCCCTGGCTTACGCTGGCATCAAGAGGACAAAAAGCAGAAGAGGAACCAGTCAAGGAGACTAAGTAGGAACAATCAGTGAGATAAGAAAATCAGTAGGTATGCTGTGCAAAAACCCAAGTGAAGAAAGCCTATTGAGGCAACAGCAACAATGTCGTCACATGCTTTTTATAGGTCAAAGAAGCTGAGGACTGGTAATTACTAATGTGTGGTCACTAGTGACCTTGACAAGACCAGTTCCACTGGTATTGAGAAGATGAAAGTCAAGTGGGTTAAAGAGAATGGAGAAATGGAGCCAGTAAGTAACAGCTTAGCTTCCTCTTTAGGGTTTTTGCTGCAGAGCAATAGAGAAATGGGTGGTAACTGGTGGAAGAAATGGGAGATTTTACAGCGTTCGTATGTTGATGGAAATGATCCAATGGAGATAAAATTGGGATCTGGAAGACAGGGAGGTTTGATGGGGCCATTTTCTTGAGTTGGTGATAGACTGAGGTCTGGTGCACAAGTGGAGGTATTCTTTCTAGACAGAAACATGCGTAGTCCAAGGGCCCTGGTTCTCAAACTCTAAGGTTCATCAGAATCACCTGGAGCACTTATTAAAGCAGATTGCTGCCCGTGCCCATCCCCACACACTTCTGATTCAGTAAGTCTGAAGTGGGGCCCAATAATTTGCATTTCTGACAAGGTCCCCAGAAAAGCCTTCAAAAACAACTGACCTACAATTATGTGGAGTAGATATAGTGGAAGAGAGTCTGTGATGTTCCCTTCTGATTGTTTCAATTTTCTCAGTCAAGTAGGAAATCATTAACTAGAGTAAAGATGGGATACTAAGTGTTGTGAGATTTGAGGAAAGGGAGAAGGGATGAAACAGTTGTCTCCAGTAGGCGAGTGAACAGATGGGGAAATGTTCATAATTTCCCTAAGGTTAACTATCATGAATTTAAAATGAGACACTAGCTGAATGTCTTTCTCCAACCACTCTAAACTGCAGAGGCAGGTAGGTGGAGAGATATGTAAACAGGATTGTGGTTTGTCAAATGAGATGAAGTAAGGGCAAGGGAGTGAATACAAGGTGGGGAGGGAGATTATGCTGGACCATGGAATTTAAGCTGGTGGAGACATGATGCATGGTAAGGTATAATGAAAAGGTGACACACTTTCTCAAAAGTGGGTGCTTTCTTCTCAAAGCTTTACCCAACTTGTCTTCATCTCTCACCTATCTGGGCTTCTGTTAGCATGACTCTCTCTTCCAGCCTCAAACCCTTGTTTTTTCTCTGTAGCAGTCATCACCACCTGACAAATCTGTCTCTCCACCAGAATTGAAGTCCCACTGAAGGCAGGGGCTTTTCCTTTTCTGCTAATGCAGGCCTACAACTCTGCCTGGCATGTAGCAGCCTGCACCCACACTATCCTCCTTACCCAATCCTGGCCAGCTTACTCTTCAGCCACAGACCCAGGACATGTCCTATACTTGTGCATCAGAATGCCTTAATTTGGAACGGCATGCATCTAAAAACTGAGTTCCTAACTCTTCAAGTGGAGAGGCTTTGGGGAAGCAGTAATCTGTAAAAGTTTGGGTTTCAGTGCTTAAAAGGAACAAGATTAGAAGGACAGGCTTTTGCCAAATTGCTTTGATGACACAGACCCAGGCCCCTGGGGCGCTGCTAATGCCAAAATCCTAGAAGGCCGTCCACATAAGGTTGTCATAGAAGACCTGGGTCCTTTTTTAGCAGACCAAAATATTTCACAGAATTGCAAATTAAGGGGGGTGGGGGACCCCCCACATGGTTTGGTATTATTCCATTTTTGTAAATTAACTTTAAATTAGGTGGATATATATATATACATATATTTAGAAATACATACATGCTATATATACTGATTTTATGTATATATCATAAAGCAAGTTTTTTTTTAAAGGCTTAAAAGGATAGCAAATGTTTACCAAGGTGTAGACATTTTTTTATTCTATATATGTAATTGTACTGGTTGTTTTGCTTTTAATTAGAAAAGCATTAGTTACAAATGAATTTAAATCCCTGTAAAAATCATACAAATGGCTTCAGAGGTCATTTCCGCTTTCCAATGAAGAAATGTGTCACCGAGCAATCCCCTGACTTGCCCAACATCACACAGCTTGTTAATGATGGAACAGAGTACCCAGGAGTGAGAGCTGAGGCTGTGGAGGATGAAACGGCAAGGGGCTTGTGAGGTTTCCACCCAGATAAGGAAAAGCTAGGAAGAAAAATCCAGTATCAAAAGGGCAATCTTCTGAGGAGATAACCCTCTTCTCTTCTTATAAGCACCCTGTGTATCTCCCACCATTCCAAACGTTGTACAGTGAAATCCTTAAACTGAATTCTGAGAACAAGGATCTGATTCATTCCCCTTTCCCCCAATGCCCAACAATAGCACCAACAGGGGCTCACAAAATACAGGCTAAATGACTGAACAGATGAGTTACTCACATGCAAAACTGAACAAAGCAGCAAAATTGGGAGTTTCTTCAGGGAGCTTTCCTTTAAAGGGCAACTCTTCAGTAACTTTTTATGAGCACGTGAGCAGCGCCTATGGCCAGCAGGTGGGGCCGGAGTAATAGCTTTCCAACCTTTAAGCCAGCCACACTTGAGCATTTAAAAAGGTAGACGAAAGCAATAAGCATACATGACACAACCCCACCCCAACCCCCACCCCCAGCAGAATAGCACTAAATCTCATTTCCCTGTTCCTCAGGCGACCTGTAGCTCACCTGTGAAGGTAAGGGGTTTGGCACTGAAGAGGTTTGTGTGCAGATCCAAAAGCAATGGCAGACATGACCATCTTGAACCCACGGTTTCTCACGGTAAAATAGCCGCCTGATCAGGGTAGGAGAAAAGCATACCAAAAAAAACCCCCGAGAAGGTATGCAGAGCCGCCCCTGCAGGTTGCAAGGGGCTAGAGTTGGCGGGGGTTGCAGGAGTATGGAATCAGGTTAGCAGATTTGCACTCCAGCGGGCTCGAAGCCACAGCCCATCACGCGGCTGCAGGGACCACGCACATGCTGATCAGTCACTGAGCCCAGCAGGCTAGAGGAATCGGCGGCGCTGGGGTTGCGAAGTACCGTTCTATGTGCCCCCGAAGGTGGGACGAGAGAGTCAGTCCTGGAAACCAGGAAGCATAGCCCTGCAGGTTTGTGGGACCTTCTCCAATCCACTTAACCTTGCTGTGGGATGGCATATCCCACAGCAGTGTCAGCTTTCCATGTGCAAACCCAGCTGCTATAATAAGTATTACAGTTCCAAAGGTTTCTCAGGAGTAAGGAGTTGCAAACTATCAGATCTGAATCCTCGGGACACTTTCACTCTCACTTTCAGAAAAAAGGGTCCTACATTCGTGACACAGACCACACTTCAAATAAATCACTTTTCAAATAAAGGTCAAAATAAGTGGCAATATTCAAGCGCTTATTAGCTCAATAATGAAAAACAGAAAACTTTTAGTATATGACCATTTATTTTCTCACAGGTAGAAAAAGCTCTGAACCCCTAAAATAGTTTAGGTGGGGTAGAAACCAGGGCTTCCAATATTTTGGGTCTCTATTTACTAGGCTACAGGTAAAAATTATGGACAGGTGCAAACTAACGCACATTCATTGGGCCCACTCTAGGTGATTATGTCAAGTGAAAGCCCTCTCCATAGCTCCGTAAGATTCCTATATAGTGCCATAAAAGGAGAGGAAGAAATGAAGTGGTTATTTTGACTAGGCTAAATAATCCTCCATCTATTATCAGTAATAAAAATTCCACTTTATCTTGCCATTTAAAGAACTGCTTTAAAAAAACAAACCAAGGGGTGGTTTCTAAATGTTTTCCAATAAAAGGAACCTGGCTCCTTGGAGAAATGGGGCTGGGGCAGAGAAATTACAGAACTATCCAGGAACATTTTGTAGTACCAGAAAATAAGGTCTCCAAAAAACGTTGGGGGAAGTCAAAAGGACACAAGAGCCAACTTGAAGGCGCTCCCAATGGCCAAAGTTGGGACAATTTGAGCAACAAAATAAATGATAGCACTAACCCATGGAATAAATATTCCTGAGTCCATACTGATATAATTGAATAAATATATCAATCATTATCAATTATAATGAGGGGAAAACTCCTCATTACAGAACTCTGATTAGTCTCAATGTAGAAGAAATAATAGACAATAGTGAATTAACACTTGGCAAATGCCACTTGTTGCAGGCAATAACAATCCAGAGATGTCAAAATCAGTGAACCAAAGAACAATAGTTTTAAAGCATATCCCTGTTATTACAAAGGGAAAATCAGTAACTTTACAGTAGAGAAATCCAGCAGACACTACCTTAACCAATTGATCCAAGTTAACATCACCAGTAATAAGACATACGGACATCATATATCCTGATAATGCACTGAGGGCACATGACTTTTGTGCATTCTTGCCAAAAAAATAACTTCAATCTAATAGTAAGAAAATATCAGACAAATCTGAGGGGCATTCTATTAAATAACTGGCTAGTACTCTCCAAGCGTCAAAGTCATAAAAGGTGAAGATTAAAGAACTGACAGGCTCTTAGAGGCTACAACAACTTAAATACATGTGGGATCCTAAATCGGATACTGAGACAGGAAAAGAGGGACATTCCTTGGATAACTGGCACATCCAAATAAGGTCTGTAGATTAGTTAACAGTACTGTATCAATACTTACTGTTTGGAATAACTATACTATGGTTATGTAAAATGTTAAAATTTGAAGAAAGCTGAGTGAAGGGTACATGAGAACTCTGCATACTATTTTTGCAGAAGTCTAAAATTACTCCAAAATAAGTTTTCTTTAAAAAAATGAACATATTGGAGGACAATAGCCAATCAAATATAACTAAGATTAAATTGAATAAATGGAAGATTTATACATTTTGTTCATATTAAAGGTTTAAAATGCTTTGAATTGACGCTGATGGTATATAGTGAGATTGGTCAGTTTCCCCACATCTTCAACAAAGGAGAAAAGTAACCAAACATGGGTATTCAAAGTATTACATTCACAAATGACAACAGAACAAAACCATTAAGGACAAATAGTCAAAAGTCAACAATCTCCACTGGCCAAGTTGTCATTTAGCAAATAAAGAGAACTAGTTTAGATGCATTTTGGGGTCTTCACCAAACCGACTTTTGGACCAAACTCTTAGAATGAACATAATCCAATTTTTATACTACAAATAATGCCAATTGGTTTTTAGATTTTTAAAAAAAACACACAAATCCCACATTCTGACCACCCCCAACACTCAGGGAGAATAAGGTGAGCAATTCCTTAGGGTCTCCAATTCTTAAGGTCAGTCTGCATCCAAAGTCACACCAGTATTTTCTACAGATGTGAAAAGACTGGGAAGCATTGGCTTAAATTAAACTAACATTTCAAATTGCAAAAAGGCATCTTGAATGATCTCATATCCACAACCTGAACACAAGGTAGGAAAATCTATGTAAAATTGCTTTTGAATTTGTGTTTTCTCTGGATATTTTCCCTTTTGAAGGTGAAATACCAAACAATTAAACGCATGGGAGTCCTCGAAAGTCACAAAAATTTTAGCTAAAATTGAAAACACTAAATGTTACATTTCTAATTTGGAGACTGGGCATCTCCAAACTGATGAAAACACAAAGGACTCCCCAATTTGGGAGGGATGTATTTTATAAAGCTTGACAAATAGGAAGGAATATCTAGGTATGCTGTACTGTGCCTCAGATAGAAAGAGTTCTCAACTTGAAGTATCAACTATCATGGTAATTAGAAATCAGCACTTATTAATTTTACCACACACCCTTGATTTAGTAGCCTGGGCTGTGTAGACTAGGATGAATAAAGTCATTTGCGGGCAAACACTGTTCAGAACCCATTTTCAGAACCCTTTCTTATGTAAGTTTTCACACATTTAACTACCTTTCCAACACTGGGACATCTTAGGGCTAAAAATCTTTAAGGCAGAGGAGCCCCAAACCTTAGAAGATAAACAAGGGTGAATAAAATACCATTATGGTTACATGGTTCGTGAAGATCCAAGCCCACTGGAATTTATTCTTGGAGCTACATCCATGTGGAATCCAGTCTACATAAGCCATATTTCAGATTAAACACTTACATCCTTGATACTGGGCTCTCTTTTGCACACAAGAATCTGGCCAGGTTTCTGTAGAGTTAGCACAGTGCCTGGCACCTAATAAGCACTCACAATCAAGTATTTATTGAATGACTTAGCAGTGGCTCTACCTTCTCTGGGAGGTATCCATAAATAAAGCATTATAAATTGTGGCCCACCTTTGCAAAGGTCATGGTTATCTAGCTCTGGGTACAAAAAACAAGCCTGAACTATTTCATCTCAGCAAACTTTCTAAAAATAGTTTCCACCTCATTAAAACTCCTTACATTCTAAATCTTTCATAAAATATACCAGACTCAAATAATACTAATAAATGGTAGTAAAAGTGATGCTCAACAGGATCTCACGTTTATTGAGAAGTGATTAATGGTAAAAAGAAAGGCAATGCCCTTTCCTCATTTGCTGAACAAGAAACTGAAGAAACATTCACTACACGTTTTACAATATTTTTCTCTTCCAAAATGCATTTCTGTAAACAAGTTTTTACCACTGTTCTTAGCTGTGAAATCAAATTAATCCTGACTTAATCAGTATAATGTACAAGAACAGAACATTTCTTAGGACTCCTAGTACTTTACTTTGAGTAACAAAGGGTAAGAGAAAATGAACCACCCTTAAAGACACAACCTTGGGTAACACTGTTAAATTCTCCAAGACAAAAATTCTTCATGAAATTGTTCTTCTAGTTCGGAAGGGAAAAACCAAATTCCCACTTTCTGGGGTGGAGGCCCATACCTTCAAAACTCAGGTGTTCTCCAAGTGCAAATGTCAAAATGGGAGGAGGAAAGGGTTTAAAAATTAGAGAAAACTGTATGCACTTACGGACTTTAAAATCCGAAAAACATAGTAAAAAGACAAAGAAAAAAAAGCATTATGCTCTGAAATCACAACCAAAGCCAAAATAAAAAGGGACATTTTTCATCTAAACTATCTAGAGGGATTTTTTGTTTAGTTTTTTCTTTTTCTTTTTTTTTCTTTTTCCAGTTAAGTCCTATGTCTTTTGTGAAATTCCAATACTTAAACTGTAAGTCTGCCATCGTCTCTGAAGTCAATGAAATTAAGAAAAAAGTCCTAATTCTCTTGAAGGTCATTTTTTTCCTCTTAGAATATGCAGATGAAACCGTTGCTGCAGTCTGTGAAGAACTGCCCTTTATTTTCCACGACCTTGACGTTCCTGGAGGTTAAAAAAAAAATTGAAATGATTAAAATTTATTCGAGTATGCTTAAGAATTAAAACTTCAAAAAATAACTCAATATAAATTTAATTTCTGCTAAACAGAGTATTCCCTACCAATAAAAATGTTTACTTCTTATATTTTAAATGTAAGTAGTAACACTCAAGCATCCCAATTAATTATTACAAAATTATTTTTCTTTGACTTTTAAATTAATTTAAATTAATTTAATACAAAATTATTTTTCTTTGACTTTAAAATTTCTTATATGATTTGTTTTCCTATTACAGTTGCTTTAGGCTAATACTTAATTGTCAGTTCCCCCAAATATAGGCCTATGGAAAGAACTCAAACATCCATCTATAGCCTGAAGAAGGGAAGCAATATACACATACACACACACACACACAGTATAGTATACATAAAAAAAAAAACACCTAACAGTACTAGAGTCATCCCACACTAGTCTCAGAGCCTTAGACATATTCATAAGCCTCAATTTTCTTTTTTGTAAAGTGAGGATATGTATCTCAGAGGGCTGTGGGAGAATTAATGAGCTGACATATAGAACAGAAAGCTCTTAGTCCACAGCAGGCAAGAAAATCATACTCTTCCCCTAGAGAGCTTAAAATCCAGAGATTTTATAACTGATTGCAATACCTAAGTATACCCTGAAATAAATCTAAATGCTTTTTTTTTTTTTTAAGATTTTTATTGGGGAATTGGGGGAAGGGGGACAGACAAGTTGCTGTCCTTTTGTTCTTCAGTCTAGTTGTGGAGGACGTTGCTTCACTGGCCCAAGGTGGCACCATCATTGCGCTCTTCCCCGGGCGAGGCGATCAGTCGCCGGCTTCTGGACGGCCGCTCAAGGCAGCTGCTGGCCGCTCACGCTGGCTGC